ATATAACCAGTAAATTTTTTTTTAAACTAAGTGAGAATGATTTTTATAATAAACTTCAAAAAATATATTATTATTATATTAAAATGGAAGTATAATAAATACGGAATTTTTTTTTAATTTTAACTCTTTCGTTTAATATTTTTATAGAGCTTTCGAAATTAGTTTTTTGCACTGAAACGTTTATTTTACAAAATAATACTATATACAAGATAATTAGCTAAAAAAATATTGTTTCTAAATTTAGCATGTATAAAAACCCTATGAGAATACATAGATTCATTGGGGATACAATTAGCAATAGGCGACCTGTAGTTCAAATGTGTCGGCCAAAACATTGACCCAATATAATTGATTCACAACATAGGTATTTTTATTTTATATTTCCATTATTGTCTCTTTATATATAGAAAAACTTGCTTAATTGTACACGTTATTTAACGTTTTAAGAAATTACAACATTTGAAATCAGAAAATATTTACATTATTAGAACTCTTATTAATTAAAATCGCCATATCTTTTTGAAAAATAAAAGAATCAAATTAGATGTTTTTTTGTCATATTCATATGTATTTAAAATTAAAACTTATGTCATATATTTTATTTTGAAAAATATAATTTACCTCTGGACTTAAATTCATGATAAAATTAGCTATAATATTCTATACTAAATATACTATTTATATGCAAAAATTGTCGCTTTATATTTTTATATTAATATTATTATAACATTTTAAACATAATTTAATTTTATATAATTTTAATTTTTTACAACTCTCTTTCATCAGACAGCCTTTTTGAAATTGGACTATTTCTCCTTATACAGAGGGATTGAAAAATTGAAATATACATATGTACAGGGTGATTTTTTTATCATAACCCACTCAATTACTTGCAGTATAATAATAATTTAAAAATTTTTTTTTTTTATTATCTTTAGTTACACATTAATCTTGAATTTTTAACTAAGTAATAATTTTTAAGTTCATCCCTTATGCCTTGAAGGGGGTCAACTTTGTTTTTTTAAATGTTAACACATATTTTTAATTTANGTCAACTTTGTTTTTTTAAATGGTAACACATATTTTTAATTTAATAAAATGTTTGAGTTTTTAATTTAATAGTAAATGGCATTTGAATTTTTAATATAACTTTATTAGCTTATTAGATATAAACACTTAAAGTTCAAAATTTTGAGTTAATATACATGTATAATACACATGGGATTGTAAATACAGGTAGCTAATTGGATTTTTATGACATTGCTGTCTCAGTCACGGATTGTTTATTATCAATTATGATTATCAATAGATATACTTTCTGTATTGTCAGTTAGTGTATTTATAAACTCATAACAATGTGCCTTACTACAATTGATAATAACAATGCTGTGTACCTGCTAATATCGATGTTATAAAAAACCAATTAGCTACCTGTATTTGTAAACCCTTGTGTATTATACCTATATATTAACTAAAAAATTTGGAACTTTAAATAATTATATCTAATAAAGAATTAAGTTATATTAAAAATTCAAATGCCATTTACTATTAAATTAAAAACTCAAACATTTTATTAAATTAAAAATATGTGTTACCATTTAAAAAAACAAAGTTGACCCCCCTCCAAGGCATAAGGGATGAACTTAAAAAGTATTACATAGTTAATAATTCAAGAATAATGTGTAACTAAAGATAATAATAAAAAAAATTTTTTTAATTATTATTATTGTGTAAGTAATTTAAACATTTTTTTTTATTACTATCTTTAGTTACACATTATTCTTAAATTATTAACTATGTAATACTTTTTAAGTTCATCCCTTATGCCTTGGAGAGGGGTCAACTTTGTTTTACTAAAAACTTTGTTTTAAGACTATTGGTTTTACTAAGATGTGTTTATTTTTTTTTTTTGGGTCTGTTACCACTTTTTCTCAGCTCTCACCGAACCGATTTCTTTCAATGATACGTCAAAAGATCACAAATTGTATCTAGTCGAAGACATTACCCTCAAAAATTGAAAAAAATGCCCTCGTTCTCCGTAAATGGGGGAAACCTCCAAAAAAATTACAAATTTAAAAATCGCTAATTTTCGAAATTTTTTTTACTTAAAAGTACTATAACTTTTTCAAAAATGAACATATCAATATAATTCTTTTTTATATAGATGTGTTATATCATTACCTGTTGTTTGGTATATTTTTTTCATCGAAGCGTTTTTTATGATAGTGATTTTAATCACTGTCAGATATCATTATACTTGATCCATCTATACCACGTCACCACTGTGCCGCGACCCCCCTGTGCTGGGTTTTTTTAAATGGTAACACGTATTTTTAATTTAATAAAATGTTTGAGTTTTTAATTCAATAATAAATTGCATTTGAATTTTTAATGAAACTTAATTTGTTTATTAGATGTAAACATATAAAGTTCCAAATTTTTTAGTTAATATATAGGTATAATACACAAGGGTTTACAAATACAGGTAGCTAATGGATTTTCTATGACATCGATATTAGCAGGTACACAGCATTGTTATTATCAATGATAGTAAGGTACATTGTTGTGAGTTTATAAATACACTAACTGACAATACAAAAAGTATATCTATTGATAGTCATAAATGATAATTANCTCACAACAATGTACCTTACTATCATTGATAATAACAATGCTGTGTTGACTGTGATAGCAATATCATAAAAAACCAATTAGCTACCTGTATTTGTAATCCCTTGTGTATTATACCTATATATTAACTCAAAAATTTGAAACTTTAAATGTTTATATCTAATAAACAAATTAAGTTTTATTAAAAATTCAAATGCCATTTATTATTGAATTAAAAATTCAAACATTTTATTAAATTTAAAATATGTGTTACTGTNTCAAACATTTTATTAAATTCAAAATATGTGTTACCATTTAAAAAAACAAAGTTGACACCCTTACCAGGCATAAGGGATGAACTTAAAAAGTATTACATAGTTAATAATTCAAGAATAATGTGTAACTAAAGATAATAATAAAAAAAAATTTTTTAATTATTATTATTCTGTAAGTAATTGAGTGGGTTATGATAAAAAAATCACCCTGTATATATATATACAGTAGGGTTGAACGAAATATTGAAAATGTTGATAATTGAATTCTAATAAAAAAAAAAATTTCTATTTCTACATCAGAGTTTGTCATGAGCTTTTTGGCATTATCTTTAATAACTTCTACAAGAAAGAAGTAAAACAAAATAAACATTAGCAAGACTATACACAGTGGAACAAATCTAACTGACAACTCTTATAACTTTTGACATAGTTAACGTTTTAGCTATATATATATATTTAAATAATTTATGCATTCATAAACTATGTTAAAATCATATCAAATAATTATTAAAAAACAAAATTATAGCCATATGTTAATTGAAGTTATAAGAGTTGTCAGTTAAATCTATTCCTCACTGTATAATAAATTGTAAAATTACTTGTAAGTATTCTGATTAATTCAGAATCTCCTACTTTGGTAATTATATTTTTTCCACGACCAGTCCACGTACATTTACCAGCATATGAATTAGTAAAAAGTTTGGTCAAAGACCTTCTTATATGTTCTTTGCCATCCCTTCCTCCAATTGATCTAATAAAATATTCCTACAGCAAAAACTCAAATTTGATTTAATTTGATAAAACTATGAAATATTTATTATATTTTTGTGAAAATGTTGACTAGATTTAGTCATTAAATCTTCTTTACTCATATTTAACCAAAGTTCTAATTACCAATTTTGAAACAAAATCAATTTCATTACTAATGCAAGTTTCAATCAATAAAAATCCTTCAACATTATCAATGGGGAATTTTGATAAAAATGAATTGTCTAACAGAGCATTTTTATTTTCATTTTTATGTTTAGACAAAATTTTTTCAATGTTTTCTACTTTTAATAATATTCTATTTAACATCATGTTCATTGTTGGATCTGTAGAAGTATACACAAAAAAATTTAAGCTAAAATGAAAAATGTATTTTACAAACAAGGTGGTTTGCTATTTTTACAATCACAAATAATTCTAAGCATTATTTTTTAATAACCCCAATGTATTCATGCCTAAGCAAATTGTATTTTTATAAAAGCACCACTAGATAGGTAAGCCCTCTCCATAAACTGTATGTAAATCAATAGAAAAATTTAACTAATTTCTATGGATTTATTTAAAGAAAATAATTGCATACCTATTATATTCTATATATATATATAATATGTAATATTAAATAAATATTACCGTAGTTTTTTTGTTGGAGAACAGACTGATTTAAAGTGTTCATTGTATTTGATGACTATTAATTAAAATATGAATATAAAAGTATAATCAAAATTCTAAAATTATTCTTTTTTTAGATTGATACATAAAACTTTAAATTTTTACCTTACAATAATTAATTTTTTCCATTTAATATACCTGTAATGAGAAGTCCGTTGTAGAACAAATATGTTTGGGTTCTGGAGGCATTAACTCAGAGAGTTGTTGATAGTTGTCTTTTTCAGTTAATCAACTACAAGATGCTATAGGTTCAACTGATGTATTTGTGGCTGAAGATGTTGATTGGTTTAGTAAATAAGACATTCTATTATCAGTTTCTAAACTTGAAACTATTAGAGCATTACTATTTGATTTTACAAACAAAGGTTTGACAATATTCAACGTGGCAGATGATGACTGAGCCATTATATTATAACTATTATCTAAACAAATTAATTAATTGAATTAAAAATTATATTATTATACAATACTAATAATTATATGGTTTATAGCAATATTATAAAATTATTCATAAAATATGTACTTAAAAAATACAATACACATTATATTTTTGGTTTGACAGTATTGTTAAAGTTATGTTAATTTAAAAAATTACCATTGTCATTGTCACTTTCATCAGTTACGTTAAACAATACATTTTGTGAGATAAGTTTTCCTTTTTGTTTATGTCTTAGAGTCATATTTTCTTCATTACCTGTTTCATTAGATGAATCTTTAATAATAACTTGTTGATGCCATGCTTTATTAAAATTATCTGTAAAANCCTGTTTCATTAGATGAATCTTCAATAATAACTTGTTGATGCCATGCTTTATTAAAATTATCTGTAAAATAGTTATATATTAGTTATATTTAAAAAAAAATAGTTGGTATATAGATGAGCTAAAAATAATCACTAGACATTATATAAATATGTATTAATTCTTACCAAAAGTTTTATTTCCACCATAAATTTTTACTCTATACATTTTCCAGGTTAACCCCGGCTCATCTGCTTTTTGTATAACATCACTGTTAACAGTGCCTGGAGGCCAGTAGCAATAATTTACTTGAGTTAATTCATTTTTTGTGACCCAATTCGTTGGTACAACACTATATTCATTGTGCTCAGGGAACAGCACAATAAGCCATTTAAGGGAACCCTATATAAATATTTTATAATATCTTAAGTGTACATCAGACACCAATTGTTAATATTATTGACAAAATAAATTTAAAAAACCATTAAATGTTTCTTTAAATACGTTTATAAATTGTATTAAATAAATTTTTAAGAGTTCATTTATGTCACATCATAAAATTTAAAGTTGGTACTTGTAAGAGTTATTTAAAAAACACTGACCACTTTCTAAATTGATTAATAAGTTGCAATCCTTGAAATTTTACACCACTGAATGTACTTATATAACAATGTTATTAAGTGTGGATGCGGTATTATAACAAGTGTAAATAAGTAGATTGTATAACTTACCTTTTTTGTTTGTTCAGCCATTATTAAAAAATATAAGAAAAAATAATAATTGTAATTAAACACGCTTAATAATAATTAAACAAGTATACTGTCTAACATAAACAATTATAAGATTGTACATAACATAACATCGCGTCTACTGCAGAGTTGTTGGTCGTTTGTGGCCGATCCCTTAAAATAAAAGATAAAGACATACGTCACATGGGTTTTTGGATTTTCCAGGTATTGAAAGGCAATTACAGTGTCGTATGACAAAATATTTTGTTTTTTAATATATTTCTAAAATTTAATTTCCAAGCAATCGTTTATCATAATTATGATAAACGATTGCTATTAATACATAGTGTAATATTTCGGAGGAACGTCAAAATGATATCACATGGACATTTCCTTTGTACTTAATTTGTATTAACCTAATAAAACAACCATATAACAGTTTATTGATGTTTCAAAGTGATGTTACGTATGAAACACTAAAAAAATGTTCCCCCGACGTACTGAAACATTAATTGTACAGTGGGTACCGTTGAAATAGTTTTTATTAGGTTATTTAAATATTGCAACGAAATATTCAACATACAATAAAAATGTTCATATAAAAATTGTTTAGAATTTAATTGTTTATAATTTTTATTGTGTGTATCATATTTTTTACCAAACGTAGTTGTTATAATCAAGTATTAGGGTTTTGAATAACTAAATTTTGATTTTTAACATGCTTTTATTAGTTTCACATGTATTTTGTTTGTATGTTGTTTGTATATTGTTTGTATGTTGT